GGCCTCCTGGGGCCTTCTGGGCCTCCAGGGACCTCCTGGGGCCTCCTAGGGCACGTCTCCTCCTCCTCCTCCTCCTTCCTCCTCCTCCTCCCCCCCCTCCTCATCGTCCCGTCCTCCTCCTCCTCCTCCTCCTCCTCCTCCTCCTCCTCTTTCTCCTCCTCCTCCTCCTCGTCGTCCTGTTCCCCCTCTGCTTCCTCCTCCTCTTCCTCCTTCTCGTTCTCGTCCTGCCTCCTCCTCCTCCTCCGCCTCCTCCTCCTCCTGCTCCTCCTCCCCCTCCTCTCGTCCACCTCCACCTCCTCCTCCTCCTCCTCCTCCTCCTCCTCCTCCTCCTCCTCTTCCTCGTGCGGAACAAGACCTAGAGGAAACGCACGACGTGCGTCCCAGCGGCTACGCGCCGGAGGACGACCCAGAAAAAGCGCGCGCCTGTGGACGACCCGGAGAACACACGCGAGGTGCGGGCCCAATGGGGAGGAGGTTCCCGCCTGAGACTTCCTGGCAATTCACTCACAGACGAGGCTCCCGCCTGATACATCCTCATATTCAGGCCTCAGGTACCCGAAAGTGACGACAGTTACAAGTTTCTGATGACCCGCCTCGGATTCGAACATGAAGTGCGGGCCTCATAGGGAGGGGGCTCCCGCCTGAGACGTCCGCGCAATTCACTCACAGACGAGGCTCCCGCCTGATACTTCCTCCATATTCAGGCCCCAGGGGCCCAAAAGTGACGACAATAGCAGAAGGCCGATGACCCGCCTCGGATTCGAACATGAAGTGCGGGCCCCATAGGGAGGGGGCTCCCGCCTGAGACGTCTTCGCAATTCACTCACAGACGAGGCTCCCGCCTGATACGTCCTCTAAATGAATGTGTGCGCGTGTGAGTGCTGATGATGCTGATGATGCTGCTGCTGCTGCTGCTGCTGATGATGATGATGATGATATGATGATGATGATGATGATGCTGATGCTGATGATGATGATGATGATGATGATGATGATGATGATGATGATGATGATGATGATGATGATGATGATGATGATGATGATGATGATGATGATGTGAGTGATGATGACGATGTGAGTGATGATGATGCTGCTGATGATGATGCTTAAGATGAGGGTGGTGATGATGATGACGATGTGAGTGATGATGATGACGATGATGATAAGGGTGGTGGTGATGATGGTGTGAGTGATTGAGTGAATGATGATAACAAAGATGTAGTGAATGATGATGAGGAGGTTGATGGTGTTGTGATGGTGGTGTGTGTCTCATGGCGTGAGTGAGTGTGCGAAGGGAGAAGAGCTCATATCGACTATTTGAGTGAGTGAGTGAAGACAATGATGATGCTGACCATGATGTGTGTGATTGAGTGGGTGGTAGGCGGTGAGTGATTGCGCGAGTAAAGGAGTGATGGTGCTGAGTGAATGTGAGTATGCGGGCGAGTGGGTGAGTGTGTGACTGATGATGATGATGATGTGGTGGTGGTGATGATGATGACGATGATGATGATTATGATGATGATGCTGCTGCTGCTGCTGATGATGATGATGATGATAATGATGTGTGTGTGTGCGTGTGGGTACGTGAGTATGCGGTGAGTGAGTGAGAAGAGAGGGGGTGTTATGGTTCCTGTGTTTCTGCGCAGGGTGTCCAGAGAAAACAAGAACCCCACTTTAGATTTGGGGAACAATAGTCCCACTTAGGATGTGGGGAATAAAACTACGATCACCTGGATGTGCCTGGTTTGGAGTCCCCGGGAGACTTGCGAATGGACCCTTTTCTTCCCGCTCATTGCCCCCCTCCTGCGCCTTGCCGACGTCGTCGTCGTCGCCGTCGTCGTAGTCGCCGTCCTCCTCGTCCTCCTCCTCTTCCTCCCCTCGCCATCCGGCGCAATCTCAAAGAGCGCCTTGCCCTGCCCATCGCACTCCCCATCCGGCCTGGCCGCCGCCGACGTGAGACGATTTAGCGTCTCCGTCGCCCTCGCCAAGGATCGCCCAGACGCCTCCATGCCGGCCCGTCAAGAGTAACATTCCTCGCTGTGAGGGAGGCTCGTCCCCCGCCCCCTTTCTCCAAGAGGTCCCACATTGCCGCAAGTCGCGCATCAATCAACAAAGGTTGGCAACTCATCATGCAAGGCACGCAGACACCCCAGATGCAACTGCGCCCTGAGACCCGACCTCAGATCTGCGCCGAGCCGGACCATCCGAGCCACCCAGGCGAGGCACGCGTGGGAAAAGGCCCAGGGAGCAAAGGCTCCTCCGATGCCGTGGGCAGGAAAGCGAGGTCCACATCCGCGGTCTCGCGAGCACGGGGCCCCGGGCCGCGACCCCGTGGAGGCGGGGCGCCTCCTCGCGGGCGCGGGCAGGCCGCGACCCCGTGGAGACGGGGCGCTTCGTCGCGGGCGCCCCGCGCCGCACACGTCCACGCGGCCACCGTGTCCACGGCATCGCGCAGGCCGCGAGGGCCTGGACACGGCCGTGCCCGCCGCTCGTGGCGAGGACCCGGGGCGTTCCACCCGAGCTGCTCGCGCGCCCGGCCGCGGCGCCGGCGGACCGCGCCACGCGAGCCCAGACGAGACCGCACGCCAGGAAGGAAGCGGGCCGAGCCCCTCCACGGCGCCCAAGAGGCGGCTCGGGGGCGCTTCCTGCGACGAGCGCCCCTCGGGGAGCAGCACCTCTGCGGGCGTGGGTCGCACGGCCCCCGCGCGGAATCTAGAAGGGAAGGGTCGCTGCGGAGCGACGAGCGTGCCGGGTGGTCCCCATCCTGCACCTCCTCCGATCCCCCCTCCCGTCCCCTCCCTCCCCACTCCTTGCCTTCCACTCTTCCTCCTACCCTCGTAATCGACGCCATTGTTCATCTCGTGCTTCTCCGCATCGTCCCCTTCCACTTACGCTTGCCCTTCCCCAGCTCCCTTCCCCCTTTGCGTTTTCCTGCTGTAGCTCCTCCTCATCATCATTTGCTCATATGTTGTGATGGGGAATCTGGCTATCGAGTCCAGCGGATCATGAACTATGATGGCAAAACGCGGCGACGATGACCAACAACAACGAACACGATGTTGTCACGGGCCAGCAATACGCAGAGGAGCAAGGCGAAGGGGAAGAGGAACACGGCGTTGACAATATAGATGCTACATCTGTGCCTGGGCAATCGCCTGGTTCTTCTCAATAAGAGTGGGGGCGTGCTCTATGTATGCCCACTCGCCGCTTACATATTTCTCATGGAGGGAGAGGATGAGACGGAGAAGTAGGAAGATCACGCAAACAAGCAAGATGCGGTCACGTCTCACTCACTCGACCAATGGGCGGCAAGAGACGTGGGTCCACCTCCCAGTGTTCCGAATCCAGCGACGAGTCAAGATCTGCCCTCAGTTCGCCCCTGGCGTGCTGGCAACTGTGAAGGGGCCCCAGGACACACAAATAAATACACACAAATAATAGGATTCCCCATATTTTCCCATATTTTCTGGGTTTCTGTCTTCCCCCCCCACTTCCCATATTTTCCCATATTTTCTGGATAATTACTTGTGTCTGTGTGTGTTTCTACATCCTGAACCTGGCATGGCGCTCCGCCCCCTCATTTCCCCCGCCGTCCTCTCCTTGTGCCCCTTCCCTTCCCCTCCCGGCCTGCCCTCCCGCTCCTCCTCCTCCTCCCTGTAGGGCAGCGAGATCGGGGGGCTGGCTCAGGGGGACCTGGACTTAGGCCGGGCACGCCCTCCTACAGGCGGATTGTGAGCGAACAATCAAACACAGTCACAACACATTCAAACATTGACACGCAAAATGCTAGAAGAATCGTCCCCAGACTTTTTGTAGACCATTTTTGGACTTTTGGGCGAACAATCAAACATGGTCAAGACACATTCGAACACTGGCAAAACAAATGCTAGAAGACTCGTCCCCAGACTGTTTGTGACTATTTTTGACTATCCCTCCTGTAGCGGGATGTGCCCGACTTCAACCTGGACGAGACCAGCGATACACTGTGCCGACAGCTCGGCGATGGGCCCCCCTTCCGTGGCCAAACGGCACCTTCCTGGGCGGGGGCGGGGAGGGGCCCCCGTCGGTGACGCGTGGGCGCAGTGGGGAGTCGATGCATCCCACCCTGTGAGCCTGCGCTCCCCCCCCCGCTAACCTTAGGTCGGGTACAGTCGGGGGCTTGACCTAAGGAACCCAAAATAAGGAACGAGGCCCCTATTTTCCATAAGTTGAACTTCGATTTCTGAGCGAAAACATAAGGAAAACCTGAGGCAAGCTGCGAAACACTTAAGGAACCCGGAGCCCGGAGCCCCTCCCCAACGAAAAGGGTTCCTTCTTCAGGGCCCCGACTGTATGTCCCCCTACAGGCGGATTCTGAGCGAAGGATTAAACATAGTCCAAGACATGTCCAAAATGGGTCAACGAAGAACAGACAAGTCGTCCCCTGACTACTTTTTTTTGACTATCTTTGACCTCCTGTAGAGGGACACGCCCGACTTAACCCTAACCCAGACCCCCTCGCGTCGCGACCAAAAATCACGACGGGAAATTTTTCGCTGTTTTCGGGGGGGGGGGGCCCTTGCCGGGCCTCGGGGCCGTCAGAAAACGACTCAGGATGAAGAACTGGTCCCGGGGGAGAGGGTCACCTCTGGGGGTCGGCGCTGTGAAAAAAACACGAAGTCGGGGGTCTGGAAACGCTGCCCCCTCCCCCCCCCTTCGATAGAAGAAATAAAAAGCAGCATAAACATAAACTTTTGGCGCTCCACGCGGGTTTCTTTGATCTGCGCTGGACCCCCCCTCCCTGGTGCGCGGAGCGCGCCAGGAGCGGCGCTGGAGGCGCCGCCAGGGGGGCCCAATGCCGACCCAAGAAATCCGCGCAGAGGTCCGAAAACTTATCCTTGTGCCGTTTTTCTTCTTCGATTCGAGCACTTCTTCCCGCCGAGCCTGCAGCCTCCGGCGCACGCGGCAGAGCGCCCCGCAGACCGCCGACGAGCGCCCGGGCCACCTGCCAGGCGTGCCCCTCAGGCGTCGCTCCGCACGTTCACGAGGATCATGTTCCCGGCGACGTTGGCGTCCTCGGCGGGCAGTTCGCGCCACACACACTTGAGCATCGCCCCGCCGATCCACCTCGCCACCAGAATGGCTCCAGCCCCGCTGGCCGACTCACCCCCCTGGGTGGGGATATATGCTGCTCCCCTCGGAACAGCATGTATCCCCACCCAGGGGGGTCAGTCGGCATCCTTTTTATACACCAACTAATTATCGTTCTTTTCGTGTCCATCCTCCTCCTCTTCTTCCTGCGTCCATCCTCCCCAGTCCTGTCCCTCCTCGCGCTCCTCGGCCCCCTTCTGTTGCTGTTCCTCCTCATCACCATCCGTCTGTTCCTTCTCCTCCCCCTCTTCCACCACAGCATGATCTCCTCGTCTCCGTCCGCCGCCTCAATGATCTGCCCTCCTCCGCTTCGCCTCCTCCTCCTCCTCCTCTACCCTCCTCCGCCTCCTCCTCCTCTACCCTCCTCCGCCTCCTCCTCCGCCTCCTCCTCCTCCTCCTCCTCCTCCTCCTCCTCCTCCCTCAATCCCCACCATCCTCCTCCTCCCAGATCCCCATTCAACTCTTTACTTCGTGCGCCCTGCGCCTCCCGACCCTCCTGTGGGCAGCGCGGGGACTCTCCCAGGTCGCACGGGCCTCATGGCGAGCCCAAAGGGAAAGATCTGAGCTCAAAACAAACTGCAGTCGGGGCGTTAACCAAAGGAACCCTAAATACGGAACGAGGCCCCTATTTCCCATAAGTTGAACTTCGATTTACCTTCGAAAGCCAAAAAAAAGCCAAAGGCAAACTGTGAAACAATCAAGGAACACCGAGCCCCTCCTCAACGAGAAGGGTTCCTTCTTCAGCGCCCCGACGGTAGAAGAATCACACGGTGTTCGACATTCTCCCCCCGCCCGACCCTGGGTCCCCACCGGAGGCCACGCGGAACTGTCTGAAGGTGGGCGCATCTCGAGTCTCTGCTGGGGCTGTCTTGGATCCTCCGTGCGCTCTTGGGGGATGCGGGAATTGACCAGGGAGCAACAAGCCCACCCTCACAATAAGCACCCCGATGAGCGAAGCTACCTAGCAAACGCACCCAAGGAAGGAATGGAAAAGGGAAGGGCTCTTCAGCAAACGCCCAGGGCCGTTATGTCAACGCCATTTATCGGGGTCGGGTGGTTTTTCCTCCCTTGATATATTTGGGCCATGTCAAGACCGAACACGGGCGGACCGCCCCAAGTACCAGTGATCTGGGGCGAAGGGGGGGGCACCGTGTGCCAGCGACTCGCCATCGCTCGGACGTCCATTCCCCGTAAAGTTTTCTGCTTGGCGGCTTGCTATGATCCGAGATGCTCCTCGATTGTCCTCGCCGATCAAAAATGCACACGTCAGAGAGATGCCAAGGCGAAGGCCGACTCGGCGCTGCTAACACTGGTTCCAAGACAAGGCAAGCGCGAACGACTCTCCATAGCTGCACGCGTTGAATCACCACTCGGCCAAAAGCGTTGAACAACTGCTGGCTTTTGTATGTGCTTCGCTCGGCTCGGAGCTGAATGGGGGCCCTCTGGGCTCATTTTTGGGGCATGTTCCGCTGGTCTTGAGCTGTCGTTGGCTCACAACGCGAAATGTCTCGTCTGTTGAAATTTTTATGTGCGTAATTCCTTGAAGCTCTCTGGGGCCTCCTTCGAGCCCCCCCGAGTACCTTCTAGGTCTATCTACCAATGACTTCTAGTGCCCAGGTAGACCCCCGCAGGCCCAGGGGGACGACAACGAAGGAAGTAACATTTAAAAAACGCGTCCCGCCCCTGGGCCCAGGGACACGATCGCCGGCCAGGTTGTATGCCCACGCGCCGCGGATGTGAGAGATCATGGCCACAGTGGTCTGGCCCCGGTCAGAAAGACAGTGTGTGAACTGTGTCCCCGATGGCACCCGGCAGGCGCCCTTTGCAGAGAGGTGACGGCCCAAAAGCATCCTCCGTCCTCCCCTGTCTCCTCCCCCACCTCCGTGACACTGGGGGCGGACCAATGTGGGGTACAGCAAAAAATGAGGCACCAAAAATTGCAAATCTACAATCGTTGGGAGCTCCGCGCGGACTTCTCGGGTCGGCGCTGGGCCCCCCTCCAGGGCGCGCGGAGGAGGCCAAGGGCGGCGCCGGAGGCGCTGCCAGGGGCGTCGAAGGCCGATCCAAGAGATCCGCGCGGACATCTGAGAACTTACCTGGGTGGGGGTCAGAGAATGAGCTGCACATGTTTCTGTTGGCAGTCGCTCGCAGGCAGGCCACCTCACAAGACATTCTGCCATGGATGACTCCATCGGAGGCACCTGCAGCGCTGCGGGCCTCAGAGTGCCTCGAGCTGCTTGACCCTTTGAGGGCGAGCTGCTGGATCTCCGTCCAACACTGGCCAAGTGAGTTTCAGAGGATCAACTGCGTATGCATGCAGCCGGCTATTCTCCAGCGCCCTTCCGGGGGCGGCCACGCGCATCGAGGAGCGCGCCGGGCCGCGCGCGGGGCCAAGGCCAGCTGCACGCCAGTGGGCTTCGGCCCCCCGCTCCCCTCCTCACTCCTTCCCCCTTTCCCCCGTGTTGACGTCTTGTCCTCGCTCGTCGCGCGTCCCTTCGCGCGTCCCTTTCTCCTCCGCTGGTTTGGCCTCGCTCATCATGTGGCGCCCGCGGACGCGCCAGTGGGTGTCCAACCACCTGACCTGACCCTTCCCCCCCCCCCGCCCCTCCTCCGTGCCAGAAGGCAAAGAGCCTGATCGAACCCGGAACCTCGGCCCCCGCCCCCCTCCCCTGCCTTCTTGCTGGAACCCATGCTGGGCCACCTTCGACCCTCAACCGACTCCAGCTTCCCCCCCCCCTCGTGGGGGAAAGCTGGAGGAGGATGAGGATGATGATGATGATGAGGAGGAGGAGGAGGTGGAGGAGGCGGAGGAGAAGGAGGAGAAGGAGGAGAGGAGGAGGAGGAGAGGAGGAGAGGAGGAGGAGGAGGAGGAGGAGGAGGAGGAGGAGGAGGAGGAGGAGGAGAGTTTGGCGTCAGCCCCACAGCACACTCGCAGAGCGCTGGACTCTGCCAGGCCCGCGCTCTGGCGCCACGAAGCCCGCGTCGCCCGACTCTTCTCGGGCCGCGGGGGCTCTCCCGGACAGGGGGAGGTGGGGCAGCAGCAGCGCGCGGTGCTGGCAGCGGCATCGGGAGAAGGACGAGACGAGGAGGTCGCACGCAGCGGCCCACGCAGCAGCGCCGTCGCAAGATGGAGTCTCCTCCCCTCCGAGGCTTCCCCCCTAATCGTCTGGAGTCCTTACACCCCGCTCGGCGTTTCAACCCCTCCTCCCCCTGGCTTTTGGCTGGCGCGGCGGGGCCAGACGGTTGGTGTACAGAGGTCGGAGGCCCTTGACTCGGGAAGGGGGGGAAGAGGGAAGAGGAGCAGGAGGGAGGGAGGTCCGACCAGACTCTCGATTAGAGTCCAGCTGTGGCGACAAGAGCTCTTCAGGACGAGCAGCGAGATGGGTAGCTCTTCCTCCTCTGGAATAGGAGGAGATCCCGGGCGCAAAGTCAGCACCGAATCGGGAAATCAGAACGGATCGGCACGTGCGTCGGGTCGGGCTGCATCGACACGGCATCGGAATCGAATCGAATCCGCTGCGCCCAGATCCATCACGGCGCCATGCAAGCATCGGGCAGCACAGGCCCGCCAACATTCATTACCCGAGTCGAATCCCACCGAGTCGGTGGATGTCGATGTCACATCGGATCGGTCGGACCACAACGGACCCTGGGCGTGGTCCTTCATCGGAGTCTGCAGCCCCCCCTCGATGTCGCGCAGGGCCCTCTTCGGAAACTGGGTCGACAGGTCGACGAGGCGAACGGGCTCTTTGGTGAGAGCCTGGCGGCGCGCGGCGTGTGCGGCTGGCGATCGCGCCCGAGTCTCGGCAAGGAGCCTCTCGGCCGAGGATCGCGCAAGGCAGCCTCGGCTTCCTATCGTGTGCTTCTCTGCGTTGCCCCCGCCCGCAGGCCTGCCATGCAGAGGCCTGCAGCCATATGAGAGCGCTGCTTCGTGAAATGCGAAAGGACGTTGCACCTCTGTTGAGCTCTTAATGCCAGCTATCTCGAGCCCGACTTGCCACAAGCGCGAGTGAGTTGATTACGTTGTGCTGACATTCTGGGGGTGTCTGCGGATACGCGGTCGAGTGTCATCTCAAGTCGGCCCTTTGACATCATATCGTGCTCTGATCTAGTGTAACAGAGATGTGCGTGTGAAAATGAGCTTGAACGGCGGCGCGATAAACGTAGATGCGACCACACCCCTCCCGACAATGATACCAATACAACAACTGCGCGAGCAGCCCGCAACGATTTTGATCAAGCGGTTGGCAATCCGAATCCAAACTGCGATGTGCACCAGGCGACGTGTGGACGAAGTAACGAACATGTGTTTAGTGACATTGCCCTTCCCTCCCGCCGTCAAGCTCGCCAGTGGTGGTGAACGCACCAGAGAAGAAGCAGCAACAAGAGAGGGGCGAACAATGGAGATACACCCTTTTCAACCACCGTGCACTTGACAGGGAGCAGCCCAAAAGATGCTGCTGCTGCGCGATCACGAATTCTTCTCAGATGCTCGCGAAGGCACCGTCGTAAGCCACTCAGATCAGCTTTGCAGTAGGCCTCGGGTGCACACGGGGCGGTGGGCAAGGAAAAGCCAGACCGCGCGGGGCCAGGAGCGTACGCCGCGACGTGCCAGCGAGCGGACGCACGAACATGCCGCATTCGCGCATGAACTCGCGATCCTCCAGAGTGCATGGGCCAGCTGCGCTGGCACACCGTAGGGGATACCCTGGGAAGCAGGCCATGGACACGCATGATGATCGATGGCACGACGCGTCTCGGGCCGGGCGAAAAGGGGGGATAGCAAAGGGGGGGTTTGATAAATCAGCTCACGTAGCTGATTTTCCCGGCGCCTCCCGGCGCCGGAGGCGCCCATGCTTCGAGGAATGGGGCGAAACCAGCTGCATGCAGCAGATTTCGTAACCCCCCCTTTCCCTACCCCTCCTTTCGATCGGGCCTCCTTCGCGAGCCCTGCGCCTCCCCATCACCGCGCATGGGCGCCACGTGGCGGGCCTTCCCCCCGACGAGCACCAGCAGCCTCCCGTCGGCACCCCGCGGGGGCTGAAGCAGAGGCCCCCAGCGCCATCCAAGAGCTCGCCCAACTCTCCCTGACGGGACCCTCCGCGTGGCTCCCGGATAGCCCCTGTGAGTCCCCGGCGCTCCCCAGGGCTTCCTTTCCTCCCTCGCCCTCTCCCCCACCTCCCCCCGCTTGCTCTCTCTCTTTCTCTCTCTCTCGCTCTCTCGCCGCCCTCCCTCACTCCCTCCCTCCTTCCTCCTGGAGAAAGGAGGGAAGATGGGAGGAGGGAGGACGAGGCGGAGGAGAAAGGGAGTTTGATTGAGGAAGCCCCTCGACGAAGGCACCTATTCGGCCTCTGCCCGGCTGGAACCAACTGGCGGGGAGGGCGCACGTGAGGAACGAATGACACGGCGCGGGACACGCAATGACTCGTCATTCGCAGGAGGGGTGAGGTTGAAGGAGAAATACAAGGAAGTAGGAGGATGGGATGGGGAGAGGGGGGCATGACGATGAGGAGGAGGTGGTGATGATGGTGGTGATGAAGATGGTGATGAAGATGGTGCATGGTAAATACTCTCACATGAGAACGTACCTTCCGCTTGGGACGAGTTCGGCGATGGACCATTGCGGCTCAGCTTGTTGGGCCATCAGCGAGTTCGTGTGAAGAATTCCTGCCTGATAGGTGCGGCCTTTAATGATTAAATCTCGCTGGGTGCGGCGCTGCGAAGACCCAAACGAGACTTCGGTCTCCCACACGATACCTCGCCCTCCTTGGGCACTGCCACCTACGCAATCGTTGCCGCTTTCGCGAGGAGCTCGTGGGAGATCCACCGGAGCCCAGTGCTGCGCAGACCCAAACGAGACTTCGGCCTCCCTGGTATAGCCGGCCCGTACCATAAGGATGCGCGATAAGGACTCAGGGGCCTTGGAAGACCCTGCGGGCACTTTGCGGGCGGGGCGCGGACAGCGAAAGCGGCCAAGGATGGACCGAGGAGGCAAGCATGTCAGGGTTTCTCCGAAGGGCTTAGGCGACCTCCTCCTCCTCCTCCTCCTCCTCTTCCTCCTCCTCCTCCTCCTCCTCCAACTCCTCCTTCTCCTCCGCCGCCTCCTCCTCCTCCTCCTTTTCCTCCTCCTCCTCCTCCACCTCCTCCTCCACCGTTGGGAAGGTTGCCCATCCTTACTATGCGGGTTGACTGTATCGGCCAGCGGCGCAACTGCCGCCACTGCCGTGAGCGCCTGGGGGTCCGACCGAGGCTGGTGCCACGCAGGCCCCCAAACGAGACCTCGCCTTCCCAGGCGCTGTCAACTGCGCAACTACCGCCCTTCTCCTGAGCTCCTCCGAGGGCGGCGCTACGTTGCGCTGACCCAAACCAGACCTCAACCAGGCATCACTCTCCTTAGATCCTGGGCGGTTCAACGGAGTCCTGCCCTACACGCAGACGTCCCTGGGTAATACAGTCGGCCCGTGTCTAAGGATACGCGACACGGATGCAAGTGCATTGGAAGGCCGTTTCAAAGCCTTTCGAGCGGGGCGCGGACAACGAAAGTGGCCAAGGATGGGCCGAGGACGCAATGATGCAAGGGTACCCTTGCGAAAATCGCTCATTCTTGTCATGCGGGTCAACTGTGCACGCAGACGCCCCTGGGGTGAGGGGGGGGGATCGGGGACGCAGAGGGGGGCAGGCGAAGGAAAGGCAGCAGGGGACGGGGAACAGCGGAGAAGTGCGAGGTGAAGGAGCAGGAGGTCAGATGAGCACCGAAACGAAACGTCGGGGCGAACGAAAGGATAGCTCAGCAGGGGGTGGGGTATCGAGCCAGCTGCGCGTAGCTGGCTCTCCTGGCGCCTCCCGGCGACGGAGGCGGCCACGTCAGGCAACCGCACGTGAAACCCGCCCGTGCCGATCAACGTTGCAGTGGAGGCCAGTCCACAGGGAACACAAGAAACCCAACCCTGAGACCCCAGGACGTCAACTGATTTTCGGTGGGGGCGTCACGATTGCCACGGCAAGAACCATCGAGACCCAAGAAATCCAGGGCACCCTGGAGGCAAGCAGGGTGTTTCTCGGCATGGGCTTCCACTGCATGCAACGAGTGGCTGAGGGTCAGAATGCGAAGGCTCCCTGTGCAAAGGCGCTAGCAAAGCTCCTCCTGGCCGAGTGCGAAGGACATCTGCAGCCAGGGGAACTCCGGCGAGGGTGCCCGGTTCCCCAGCGGCGATGGGACCCGTGGGGAGGGGGGGGGCTCGCTGCCTGGCCCAAGCGTGCGTCGAGAAGAACGCGCCCGTCGGCGGGGCCGAGAGCAGCAGCGTGCAGCAGCTCGGCGGCCCCGCTGCGCGGCACGCAGCACGCTGGCCATCGCTCGGACGTCCATTCCCTGTGTTTTTTTCGGTTTCGTGCGTTTTTTTCGACAACTGATCAAGGATGCTCCTCGATGGTCCTCGCCGAGGAAAAAACGCACACGTCCGAGCGATGCCAAGCACGTGGCGTCTCGCTGCGGGGCTCAGCGCGCAGACTGGAGAAACGCAGGCCTGGCCTGGTGCGTTCGCCAAGCCGCGGCCCAGCACGTGCCGAGCCGACGCGCTGCGTGTGGACGCGGAGGCTGTGAGCACGGTGCGTGCTGCGTTGCAGAGAGCGGGCGCGTAACAGTGCAGCTCAGCGCAGCAGATCTCGTGACCTTAGGTCCGGCGCGGCCTCCTGCAGGAGGACTGGACGAACATCAAAAATAGTATAAAATAATATGCCAGATTCAAACATACTAAACAAACATCGTCCCCAGCGTATGTTTTGACTATCTTTGAGTACTCCTCCTGTAGAGGGTCACGCCCGGCTTACTCGTAACCCCGCCTCCCCGACTCCAGGGCCCCGTGGCGCCCACGGCGCTCTTGCGGCGAGCCAGGACGCCGGCACGCCCGAGCCAGCTGCGGCCGTGGGTCGACGCTAACTCCGTCCCTCGAGCTCTCCGGGCGGGGTCTGCCGGCCGCGGCCAGCAGCAGTGCAAGACGCAGCCAGGACGAAGACAACCTCGGGCGAGGATAGACACCGATCATCTCTGATGTCTGGCGGCTCTGGCAGATGTCTCGGGCACCGCGGCCTCCTCAGAGCGTTCCGGAGCGGTCTGAGAGCGTTCCGGCACGCTCTGGGACGGATCTGTCCTCGTCCCGGCCCCTTCCGACAGTGGTCTCGTCTGTGGGGGCCCTGTGGACTCCATCCCGTTGGCTGTGGCCCGAAAGCAGGAGGCTGGATGTGCTCCGAAGAAGAACAGGCGGCAGCAGCAGGCTGTCGCGGCCGGGAAGAGCGCCGCCCCTTCGAGCGAAACCCGAACACGTCCAGCATGGGCTTCACGATGGGATCCCGCATCCTCAGGGGTGCCAGCACGCCCTCCTCTGCCCTTCTTCCTGCACTCTCTCCTGCTACCCTCCTCCTGCTGCTGCCATTCCTCCTTCCCCTCCTCCTTCCCCTCGCTCTCTCCTCTTCCACTTCCTCCTCCTCCTCCTCCTCCTCCTCCTCCTCTACTTCCTCCGCGCTCTCTTCCTTTTCCACTTCTTTCCTCCCCCATCTCCTCCTCCTCCTCCTCCTCCTCCTCCTCCTCCTCCTCCACCGCCTCCTGCTCCTTCTGTCCCTATCTGAATGTTTTTATTGCCTCCTGGCCCCCCAGCTTGCTGGCCTCCCTTTTGCCTCGATCCTCCTTCTTGGGTCCTCCCTGCTCCGTCCAGCGTCCTCACTCCTCACTCCTCGTTTCTCCGTTCTCCATCCGCCATCTTCCGC